TCGAACGCTGGGGCTCTCCATATTAAAGCCATGGTCCGCCTTGATGGAGTCGAGGAGAGCTAGTAGAGGTTAGCAGCAGAAAACTTAATGGGGTCCATTTATCAACTCACTCTCAAGGGACCAATCCTCATCAGTTCTTCCGAATAGAGTCACAAGCTCGTCTGGTGTGAACGCACTCAGTGCAGAGTAAGGGAATACTGAGGAAAATCCAGAGCGGAAGGCATCTACTTGACGACGTACTCCCGAGCCTAGTGTCACATCGATCACCTTTGCAAGGTAAGATTCGACGTTGTCAATCGTCACTCTTGTATGAGCCCCGCCATCTTCAAGCTCAATTTCTGGATAGCCAGGAAGGGTGAAATCCAGGCACAGATCTTCCAAACGCACGTTGTCGATTGAGATATCTGCTAATTCATCCACTTTCTGTGCTGGGGTCTTATTGGGGTCCTCGTCGATTTGTTTCTTTGCTATGGCGAAGTCCTTGATCGTCATCAGAGACTGGGCAAGACCGGGGTCGACCATCTTGACCGCACCGAGTGATGGCTTGACTCCTGAGGATGTAGCCTCTCCGATTCGGAAGAAGATCGGGTTTAAGTGAATATCAACGATGCGAGAATCAATCATTGATCTCGCTACGAATTTTCCGAGCATCTTGAATAAGTGGAAAATACGTTCACCATTAGGGGTTGACGCCTCCTGGTCGCTGATGGGACGGGGGAATAAGCCGGTTTGGCCTGTGGCAAACTCACTTGATACATCAGAATCGATGTCACGCCACAGCTTGAGTTTCTTCTTTGAGAACTCGAGAGAGACAGTTGAGTAGAACTCAAGGGTTGGCCCGAGGCCAGTCCCAACCTCCTCAAAGTATTCAACTTCCAAAATGCTCTGAGATGCACCATATAGATCCATGACTTTTAGGGCAGACTCAAGGATTTTTGTGCGTGAGATACGCACTTTCTGCCGCTGAAGACGCCCAAGGAATGGGCGTTCGTTATGGCGGTCTCGGCGACTTTCCTCTGCTGATTGCGTGTTTTGCCACCTCGTCATTGACCGTGCATACCCGAAGGAAGTAGATTGAAGGAAGAGATGTCTTGTTTCAAATGGGAAGAGGAAGGGGTAGAGTCGTGCAAGATCTTCAGACCATCCAGGAAGACAGTTGCTTGCAACGATGAGCGGTTCCTCGAGTTGGCGGTTTAGCTTGGCAGTGAGCTTGGTGTTCACGAACTGAGAGAGGGGTTCACGGAAAAGGCCCACGATGCCATTCTTCTTGTCCATTAGGACATCTTCGATATTGGCATTGAGCTCATGGAGAATATTGAGCAACCTTAAAATAAAAGTAGTTGACGGATGCTTTGCTAGAGATGCCGGGATGCCGTTTTCAGATTCCCCGTCGGCCTCTCCATTAGAGGCCGAAGTCGGCGACTCAGCGGAGGGAGGTCCAGGCACTCGCCTAAATTTGACGGCATGCGTTGCGGACCAGATACTGCGAGTAACAGGTTCCCCGGAGTTGGCATTTGATGTATGGACAGCGCGGTAGATTGTCGTTTCGTTGGGCACAACTTTCCCATCCAAGCTGAACTCGATATGCCAGTCCTGAGGCGTCGCTTGGAGAGCGGACGCATACGAGACAGACCGAGAGGATGAAGGTGTTGCACCACTTGGGGGCGGAGGTGGCCCTGGGCGCTTACTTCCAGTTGAGGCTCCTGGTGTAGAAACCCTACTGCCATCTTCCTTGCGTGCTGTGACGCTCCCTTCGGTTGCCACTTCCATGTTGACAGCAGAGGGGTCCGCAGGGGGTTCATCGCCAAATTCTTCTTGCAGATCCCCAACGATGGCATCCAGGGCACTCCTATCACCCATATCCTCGTCGTCGGTCAGTTGCTTTTCATCTGCACACTCGAGTGTATCTTGGACTTCATCATCCTCCTCTGGCGGAGGTCGTGGAGGCGTTGGTGTCTCCTCCGATGCGGCCTGACGCCTCGAAGACCGCCTCAAGACCCCCTTATCACGCGAAGATTCCGAGAGTGGATCGGGGACGGTTGGAGACTCAGTTGAAGGGGTAGATCGAGTTTTCGCTCGACGGGATGATCGGGAGAAGGAGGGGGCGGCTGGCGGAGGAGGGGGCGGAGGCATGTTTCCAATTCCGGCGAGTCGAGCTGCGGCAGCAGTGCTCAGGGGGAATCCGCCACCAGCCATGGCCGCTAATGCCCTCGTCAGGCCATCTCGTCGCGAGCCGCGAGGTCGTTCACTAAGACTAATTCGAGGCCGGAGATATTCATCCAAGGATTTGAATGTGGCGATTGCATGAATTGAGACCATGATGCTCCGATAAGGTCGAGGGATGTCAGAGTCATCGTCAGCGACTAAACGTAGGCGGATTTGCTTCCCTAACATTGATGCAGGACTGCTCCTATTACCATCGAAAGAATTTTGGTGCACTGTGAGAACTTCGAAATGCTCTGACCTACTGAGCAAGTCTTGTAGCTTATGTATCATCACGCTGTAAGGCGTCACAGGCGAGTCTCCTGCGGTACTCTTTGGCTTTGACTTGACTGTATTTCCCATGAAGACCTCGAGGAAGGTGGTTCGAGCCGAGCGCGTAAGTTGCTCATCGGGATTGCCAAACACATTGACTAGCACCCGGACAAGGCCGGATGCCAAAAGCTCGGAACTGGTGACGCTCTCTAGGACATTGGAGTCAAAATAAGAAGCCAATTTTTCGAAGAGAATTCTGCCCTGCCCGGGAGAGAGGTCGGTAGCGGTACGCTTGAGGAAGAAATCTTCGAGGTCAGTGGCAAGTTTCGAAAGATCGTTCAGAATGACATTCGCCCTGTCCCTCATAGCCTGATCATGTTGGTCACTCTCACGAGCCTCCAAGAATTTCTTTGCCACATGACGGATCCGCGACTTCATCGAGTGGCCATCGGAAGACAGTCGATAAACAGGTGCATCGAGTGACATCGTGGATCCCCGAGAGCTAACCGGCGATGCATCATCTCTGTGGATTGCTTCATGGTCATTCTCCTCCTCCTCCTCATCATCACCCTCATCTTCACCCTCGCCGTCACCATTCTCTTCGTCCTCTTCGTCATCCGAGGTCTCTCCATCCCTATCATCGTCCTCATCATTGCTGGAGTCATGTTTGGCCTGATCGGCGTTGTTTCCTGTCTCATTTGCTTCGGTAAGAGCTTTGTCTCCCTCGCCATCCCGATTGTTATTTTCGGCTGGAGGGTCGTGCTCGTTGGCCAAGGCGGTGATTTCTGCAATGACTCCCTCGCGATAGAATTGGTAATGGAATACATCATCAAGACGGCTTAGTAACAACTCAGTAGCTTGGAGAGCCAGCATGACCAAAGTGGGATGATCCTGTTGAGACAAGATTGATGCCATGAAAGATGCATATGGAACAGATGTTAGTGCCTCCGCAAGAATATCCTTGTCCAAGTTAGAAAGCATTTTCAGTTGTGCTGTCAAGACTTTTTGTCTGACACTCAAATTCACGGTGCTGGAGAACGCATCCGTCAACGTAGGGAAGAGGATAAGTGCAAACCGTCTGACCTCTTCCTTGCACTCCTCTAGTAAGGCGATCCGCTTATCGTTAGAACCACTGCTATTATCTGATGAAGAGGTGTTTGTTTCCCGGGAAGCATTGAGCTCCACAAAGTCGCCACACACAGGATCTGCGTTCCGAGGAAGGCTAGGAAGTAGTTCGCAGATGACATTGAGTGTTTCGACGATTTGCTCCCGAGGTCGATGGATCAGGGCCTGCATAATAACCACGCTATCGAGTTTTGAGGCAACATCCTCAGTTCCGCTTGGGGGGGATACACCAGTCAGAATTTGATAGAGGGTCTCGACTACATTGAGCTTGAAGAGTTCAGCCGACAGCTTGGGGCTTGCACGGGCGGTAAATGCCAAAACTCGCAGAAATTGAGTATGGATGTTAGAACTGATCAGGTTCGTACTGCCAGGGTGAAGAAGGCGTAAAACGACTCGGAGCAAGGGAACGCTGACGAGCTCCTCGAGTTTGTCTGCATGGTCTTTGAAGCTCTCAACAATGCCGGAAACACAAAGTGCTGCTTGTTCCACAACTCGTTGGTCATTGCTATCCAGGACATTTAGGAGGGTTGGCATAACATCCCGAACAACGGGAAAGGAGTCGTCCGGAATATTACGGCAGCAGTTGGCAGCAGTGGTTACCGCAGTTCTCTGTGTGCTTGTGGGAAAGAAGTCCAAAAAGGAGAGACAAGCCGTCAAACCGCCCTCGCGAACAATGCTGGCAGGATACTCAACAGAGATCTTCTCCAGAGTGCTTAGAGCTTGCTCGGCCAGGTCGATGAATGAAATCTCCAGGAGCTTTTGGCAAAGCACAGGCACCGCATTACCATATACAACATTTGCCACGCTGGACGGCAGGGCTTCCATCAGATTAGCTAGGCAACGACATGACACAAGCATAATCTCCGGGCTTTCCTCTTTGTTCATCAATGCCACGAGCTCCTTTACGAAAGCGTCGGGTGAAAAGTGGCCAGATAAGTTGTCCTCATTCGACACAAGCAGTATTTCAGAGAGCTCCTGCAGTGCTATCAGTTGAACTGATAGATCGTCTTGGCGGAGGCTATTCAACAGGTCCCGAAGTCGAGAGGTGAACCCGGACATGATGCCGCTCAGTGCTCGTAGAGTTCCTGAGAGCCCGGCCCCGCCCGGACCGCCGAATGCACTGAATGGGTCATCTTCATCATCGTCTTCATCGTCCTCGTCGTCGTCATCATCATCGTCCTCCTCGTCCTCGTCATCATATCGTCGATCTTCGGCATCCTCATCTTCACTGTCGTCCTCGCGGGAAGGGTTCTCGGCTGGTGGGGGAGGGCCATCATCCCGAGCATCATCTGTCCCAGTCATTGCGGTGTCGTGGTCTGAGGTGTTGCTGTGTCTTTTTGATCTGCGTGTTGACGAGGAAGTAGCGGAGGGGTTTGAACCTAGGAGGAGCCAGTGTGAGTATGTACAGATTGAAGGCTGGCTATGTGTCCACACAAACCTTGAGCACCACTTGCCGGCTTCTTGCTTCGACTCGATTTCCTGCTCGAAGATGCTGGCTGAGTCGTCGTACTGTTGTTGTTTCTCGGAGGAGGCCGGTTCGGGCCCCTTCATATAGTAAGTATGATATCATAACCTTGATTTCATGCAGCCTCAAACGAAGGAAGTTTCACGTACTCTGAGAGATCCATGGCGTCAGACGCCTTTCCTTTCCTTTGGAATCTCGTTGACACGGAAGCACCTGTAGAAGGGGTGCCAGTCGGTGGGATCTTCTGTCTCTTGGACTGTCGACCCGAGGGCCCAGGAAGTGTACTTGGGCTGGTCTGGCTCCTGGCCTCGTCGGGAGGAGGGGGGTTCTTCCGCTTCCTCGTCGACGACGGCGTTGTTCTGGAGTTATTCGAGGTTTCTGTGGAAATGGTACCGTCCGAGGCAGTCGAAGGGGCAGGTGCACCCGAAGGACGCGCTACCTGGCTGGCTGCTTGGCGAGCAGATGATCTAGTGATTCTGGGAGGCATGAGTAACGAGGTATCGGAGGCCACGAACAGACACGGCTGACGAAGCAAAGCGAGGGCAGTCGGAGAAAATGAGACAATGAAAAGATGTGCTACGAGGCTGCACTTCGATGCGTGATCATCACAACCACACGTCTGAAGCTCAAGACTCAAATCCCACTGGAAGCCTCGGGCACATGGCGCAATATGTTGTGCAAGGCTGGGGTGTGATGGAAAGGAAAGAAGAAAAGAAACGTTGAGGAAAGGTGAAGAGGGGAGAAAAGTGATAAATAGTATAGCGACCGCCTTGTATCAGTAGATAGGAAGGAAGGAGAGAAGAAAAGTGGCCCGCTAGGCAGGAGAAAAGATGGTGAATGCAACCAGGGCCCTGGGCTTGGGATGAACCGTAGTGAATCAAACTATGGAACAGCTAGGGCTTCGGCCCATGGTCAATCGAATGGGAGACTGGTAAAGCTAGTAGCGTCCAGACAGGTGCATGGGAGCGAACATCAACGTCGGAGGTGAGGTGGGTAGATGGCCTGGTGCTGGGTTGGATGAATGGAAGAGAGACAGCCCGGGACTTCAGGCTGCGTGCGGTGTGGACGTAGGTGTAACGCAGGGGCAACGGCATAAGGTAAGCGGCAGAAAGAGATAATGATTAGGGCTGGCAAGATGGGATAGTACGCAAGTAAAGAAAGCAGGCAGCGAGAGAAGCAACTTGGACCTGGGCAAACGGGGGATGGTTCACCTACCGTTGAGAGCCTATGGGAGACGCTGCAGCTGGTCTCGGCTGGGGGGGAAGTCGCGCTTCGTTCTCAGCTGCCGATGTTTGTTCTGCCATGCCCAGACTACGCCATCAGGAGGGAAGGCACGACGTTGACCAGCGGCGGGGGAGAGGCAGGCACGGGACGGAGCGGCGTTGGGCGTCTTGCGCTTTCGGAGGCGCTTTGCGGGGGAGAGTCGGTGATGTCGAGAGGGTCCTCAGTGCTGCCTGAGATCACGCTTCGCTGCCTGGGTCGCAGGGAGGTCTGGGTATCGTCGTGGGTATGGTATGGAGCGGCTGTATGGCGAGCGACGGTCGGCGGAATATCGGTGCCACATATGGGAAGAGAAAATGTGTAAAAAGAGATGATCGTGCGCCGGTGCTGACTTTGGCAGCATTGGCAGCTGGTCAGTAATACTACTTAATGCCACTACGCCCGTGCATGGTACATATGCCCGCTATAAAGAAGTGGTGGCGTGTGTTCCATCTTGTATTGTGCAAGGCAATGCTCCCCCCGGTCGCACTAAGGCCAGGACGTCTTTAGAGCTTCAGCCTCCCTACATCCACTATCTCCCGACGGCCCACCAGCAAGGGTAGGTTTCTATCTGTGCCGATGACATTATGACACCCGGACGGGGTATCTGCCTTTGCCTAGGTTCCGATGTCCCTATTTAACACGCAGCTCTCCCAAGCGCCCAAGGAGGTTTAATTCTGTCCCAACTTTGGAGTGTACATGTCATTAGCCGGATACCGGTAGGTAAGCTCTACCTAGCCGCCAGCCACCTACCTAAGGTTGGCGGGGTTGTCCTCCACAGAGCCCACTGATAACGCAAACCCAGAAACCATGGGTCAAGGCCTTTTGGGTGATTTCTGGTGCAAACCTTGAGGCAACGCCAAAATTGGAGCAGGGACGATCAATGAGCTGTACTAGAACATGGGATGTTAAAAGGATAGTACTACTCATGTCTCACCTGGCGGCCGCGTTCAATACTCTGTGCTACCCACGGCCTCGAAGGCAATACGACATATTTCCCGCAATTTCTTTTCAGCCCAACCTCCTTGTTGTTTTCTGGTTGTTTGTTTATTTTCTTTTTTTAGTGCCAGCTGGAAGGTTTGTGGTTAGCTATCTAGATGCAAATTCATTGGAGCAGATGGCCGAATGCAGCCAACAGATGGAAACCAAGGCCGTATGACCATGCCATCCATCCACAAACCTGTATCCCCTGACCGCTTTTGCAGGCGACCACTTGGTCAGCTTTCTGTTAGGCATTCTCTTCTCGCATGCCACGTTGGGCTACGATTGCACAGCATAACAAACACTCCATATGCACCATCAGACAGTCGCCGTGGGCAAGTGACGGGCTTGTAGGTAGCAAGGTGCAGCATACCTTGTACCTTATCGTGCAGAGAAATATCGTTACATGCTGGTTTTACTCCCAGAAACTTTGCTTGGTTATAGTGGTACAAGCAAGGATACTCGTACGCTATCGTCTACTGTTAAGATTGGGTATTATCAAACTTTCTTTGCTCTGCTTCGGCTTATATCTGTTTGCTCAGTTGTCTTGCGTAAGGTACTCTAGTCTTTTTTCAAGCTCTCCTTACCACCGTCGTACTCCGCCACATCGTATTCGTTTGGATACTTGTCGATGACTTCCCGCAGCTTCTTCATCTGCTTCTTCAAATCCGGAGTCAGGTTCTCATAAGTATCCTCGAACATGTAGCTCAAAGGGGGCTTCTTCTCCTTCTCGGCCTCACTAATACCCTTGAGGATCTCCTTTCGTAACCGGTCTCTGGCTTCCTTCTCCTTGGCATCGTCCCACATCCCGTTGTTTTCCATCCACTTTCTTAGCCGCGTGATGGGATTATCGCGGCGCTTCCAGTCCTCAACCTCTACCCTTGCACGGTATGCGAATGAATCATCAGATGTGCTATGGTGGGACACTCGGTAGGTCAGGGCCTCGATTAACACGGGCTTGCCGCCATCTTCAATGGCGATTTTTCGGGCTCTCTTGACTGCCTCCCGAACAGCCCAAATGTCGTTGCCATCCACCCGGATTGTATCAATGCCATATCCAATTCCTCGGCTTGCAATGCCATCGCCACGATACTGGTCCAGGGTGGGGGTGGAAATAGCATAACCGTTATTGCGGCAAATGAAGATTATAGGACAGGAACGAGTTGCGGCGATGTTAAGCGCTCCGTGGAAATCAGCACCGCTTGCTGCACCCTCGCCGAGATAAGCACATGTGACAAGAGGTTTTGAGCTAGGGTCTCGGAGTTTGGCCATTCTTTGGGCATACGCGTTGCCCGCAGCATGTGGTAACTGGGTGCCAATTGTCGATGAGATAGTATGCTGTGATGGTGTTAGCACTGCCTACATATGAACTCTCAGATTATGTGATCGTTGAGGACCTACAATATTCAACTCTTTGGATCCATAGTGTATAGGCATATTTCTGCCTCTCCCGGTATCTTCCCTGTTGGCAAATAGCTGTGCCATAAATTGCCGAGTGGTGAAGCCTCGCTCACGGAAGCATCCCTGTTCGCGATACTGGCAGAAGATGACATCTTCTCTGTCCAACACACTGGAGCTGCCAACAGGGACAGCTTCTTCTCCAGCGCTGACCATGTAAAAGCTAAGACGGCCCTGTCGCTGTGCATCAAACATGATGACATCCAATATTGAGATATAGACCATGTCTGTATAAAGCTTCACAATTGTTTCCTCGGGGATATCGGGCTTGAATGACGGGTCGACAATAGTGCCATCTTGATCGACAACTCGGTAGGTTGGCAAGGCTGTCCATTCTTGCGGGTGCTGGAACTGAAGAGTATTGGTGAAGGCACTCTTCAGTGCACCTGGGAAGGACACAAAGTCCGATTCCGGTCGCTGGGAAATGCTGCTCGCAGAGCGAATGGATCTGTAGAAGCTAGAAGTTGGTAGGGTTCGTGCTGCGACCGCTCGATAAAGGGAGGCGTTCCCTAACGCGCGAGCCTTCATTGTGAAGGTCGTGTGAGTGTATGTATTTGGGGCGAGTTCGAATAAGACGACGTGGATAGGCTGATTTGTGTACCGGAGGTGAGTAGATGAACAAAAAGTATCCTCTGAAATGGCGCCTTAGAGAAGTAGGTTGTTGCCGAGATGCTGGGACGGTCTAGCACAGCGCCGAGTACGTCAAGTAAAGTAAGGTAGTCAGCTGAGCCGACAGAAAGCGAGCCGAGGGAGACCGCAACAAACCATCGCCGTTCCTGGGCGTAACTCGCTGAACTTCCAACCGAAACCCGCCAAATCAAGGATCTCAATTTATAGCGGCTAATTACCTCGGCCAGTCGCTATTTTTGCCACATACTGCAGAGATGAAAAGGGATTGACTCCCGGCGGGAATGAGTCTCAGACAATCATTCACAACCTGAATGCTGGAGAGTGACGAGCCCCACCTCCGCAATTTCTTATCGATAAGCACCCACCTCCGGATCTGCGCCTCGCTATTCTAGGCCGACCAGGGTCAAGGTGAAGTCTACTGGAGTGTTGCCAGTCGAGACAATCTAGTTAGGATGGAAGAGTAGCCCTCTCGATCCTTTTCTACATTCGATTCTCTAGCTAAGCGGGATTACAATCACGATGGCTTTCCTAAGCTAATTCTGTCGATAACTGCTAATTCTGTCGATAACTCAACAATGGCAAACATGAGTTGGCAGATAATCAATGCTAAATTACAACAGAAGCAAGTGCAAGTAACTTTGGCTTTTTTGCCAGGTGGGTGAGGGTAGTTCGTGATATACAAAAGAGTTAGATCACAGAAGAAATTCAAGGTGGCATCCATTCGTCTCACTTTGCAGCAATCGCGATTTTTCAGTAAATTAATTCATCATAAGCCATCACCAACAGCCGGCAGCTTGTATGATTTCTGCAGATGGTAGCCTCGATACGAGTGGGAAAACTCGGCCTGCATTATTCGTTACTTCTTAGTAATTTACATTTATTATAGTACAACGAAACATAGCTGCCCCTGTGCTTAGAGGGGTTTGATACCGCGATGAATAGCCGCAATGCCGCCTGTCAAGTCCTCGTACCCCTTTCCAGCAACTTCAAAGCCAGCATCCACAATCATATCGCGGAAATCCTCCTGGCTTGGGAAGCGCTCGATACTCTCCACTAGATATTGGTAGCTGTCACGGTCGCCAGCCACGAGCTGGCCGATCAGAGGAATCGCTCCGAACGACCACTGCTTGTAGAAAGCATTGAACAGCGGGTATTTGTCCACCTTTGAGAACTCGAGGCAGGCAAACACACCACCCGG